TAAAAGACATACAAATCAGAAGTTAAAAAGGAAAACTGTCATTGTTTGCAGATTACATGAAACAATATATAAAAGCCCTGAAGTCGCAACCAAAAAACTATTTGAACTAATAAATGAATTCCGAAAAATTGCAGGATACAAGATTAATATAAGAAATCTTTTGCTTTTCTATACACTAATAATGATTTATCAGAAACAGAAAGCAAGAATCACATCAAAAAGAATAAAAATGCCTAGAAATAAAACTTAAACAAGGAGGTGAAAGAGCTAAAAATCTATAAACTAAAAATCTATAAAACTAAAAAAAAAAAATGATACAGGCAACTGAAGATGATACAAAGAAATGGAAGGACAGCCCACACTCAAGTGCTGGATGTCCATACTACCCAAAACAATCTACAGATTTAATACAATCTCTATCAAAACATCCATAACATTTTTCACAGAACTGGAACAGATAATCCTAAAACTTATATGGAACCACAGGGGACCCTGAGTAGCCAAAGCAATCTTGAGAAAAAAGAGCTAAGCTGGAAGTATCACACTCCCTGACTTCAGACTGAATATACTACAAAGCTACAGTGATCAGAACAGCATGGCACTGGCAGAAAAACAGACAGACGGATCGATGCAACAGAATAGAGAGCCCAAAAATAAACCAACGCACTTAAGGTCAATTATGACAAAAGAGGCAAGAATATACAATGGGGAAAAGACAGTCTTTTCAACAAGTAGTGCTGGGAAAATTGGACAACTACATGCAAAAGAATGAGATTAGAACATTTCCTCACACCATGTATAAAAATAAACTCCAAATGGATTAAAGACCTAAGTATAAGATCAGAAACAAAAAAACTCCTAGAAGAAAACACAGGCAGAACACTCTGACAGAAACTGTAGCATTATTGTTTGGACCTGCTTCCTGAGGCAAAGGGAACAAAAGCAAAAATAAACAAATGGGACTTATTTAAACTTAAAAACTTTTGTCCAGCAAAGGAAACCATCATCAAAACAAAATGACAATCTAATCAATAGGAGAAAATATTTGCAAATGATATGATTGATAAGGGGTTAATATCCAAAATACATAAACAACTTATACAAACCAATATCAAAAAAAAAAAACAAACAGCCTGATTAAAAAATGGGCAGAAGACCTGAATAGACATTTTTCCAAAGAAGACATACAGATAGCTAACAGGCACAGGAAAGATGCTCAACATGGCTAATTATCAGGCAACTGCAAATCAAAACCACAATGTCACCTCGCACCTGTCAGAGTGGCTATCATTAAAAAATCTACAAATAACAAAAGCTGGTGAGAGTGTGGAGAAAAGAGAACCCTCCTACACTGCTGGTGGGAATGTAAACTGGTGCAGCCACTATGGAAAACAGTATGAAGGTTCCTCAAAGAACTAAAAATAGAACTACCATATGATCCAGCAATTCTACTCCTGGGCATACATCTGAAGAAAACAAAAACACGAATTGGAAAAGATACATGCACCCCAATATTCATAGCAGCATTATCTGAAATAGCCAAGATAATGGAAGCAACCTAAGTGTCCATCAGGAGAAGACTGTATAAAGAAGATGTGGTATATATATATATTTACAATGGAATACGACTATTTAGTCATAAAAAGAATGAAATTTTGCCATTTGCAGCAGCATGGATGGACTTAGAGTTATTATGCTTAGCGAAATAAGTCAGACAGAGAAAGACAAATACCGTATGTTATCACTTATATATGGAATCAAAAAAATTAAACTAGTGAATATAACAAAACAGAAACAGACTCACAGATAGAGAGAATACATTAGTGTTAACTAGTGGTTACCAGTGGGAAGGGGAGGGGCAAGAAAGGAGTAGGGGATTAAGAGGGACAAACTACTATGCTTAAAATGAATAAGCTACAAGGATATATTGTACGGCACAGGGAACCTACCCGATATTTTATAATAACTATAAATGGAGTATAATCTTTAAAAATTATGCATCACTCTGTTGTACACCTGAAACTAATATAATATTGCCAATCAACTAAACTTCAATAAAAATGGGGGGGAGGTGGGTAAATCATAGGACAATAAGAAGAGAAGATGTCTGATAATTTAAAAAAAATGTAAACAAAGGGGGAAGGATATAGCTCAGTGGTAGAGTGCGTGCTTAGCACGCATGCGGTCCTGCGTTCAATCTCAAGTCCCTCCAGTAAATAAATAAATAAATAAACCTAACTACCTCCCCCACCATCAAAAATAAATAAATTTAAACAAAAAACTTCTGTCCTTTCCTGGAATAGGCATATAATCCACTCCACCTCCTCTCTCCCTGCTGTACCTGCAGGCTCTTGACAACCACACCTGTTCCTTTCTGTACCAAACCTCATAGCATCTCCACTTCTTTGCACGCCCCCTAGGTTTCTGATCTAACGCTGTTCTTATTGAACGTGGCTGGCTGCAAAATTTAAGAGCAGAAACTTAAGTAGACAAACCAAATAAACCTCACATATAGCCTGAGGGGGAAATCAGAGTAGAAGGCTGAGATGGATCAAGTAGCAAGACTTTGCACATATTTTCCTAATTGACTCCTCAGAGCAAATCTGTAACATATTATTGTTCTTGCTTTATTGAAGAAACTGTGACCCAGATGGATTTGGTGAGTCGCCCAAGCTCACCCAGCTGGCACTGCAAATCCAAAACTTGGCCCTGGGCTACTACCAGGTTCTAAAGCCAGCACTCAGTCCCCATGCATACAGCTTCCTGGGAAGACACACACTGTCTGGATCAGTGCTGTCCAATACAGTCGCCAGGAGCCATATGTGGCTATTAAAATCGAGTAAAATTCAATAAAATAAAAAATTCCATTTCTCAGCTGCACAATCCCCATTTTAAGTATTTAATAGCTACACGTGGCTAGTGGCTACTGTACTGGCAGCAGCTATGGGATAATTCCATCGCTGCAGGAAGTTCTATTAGACAGTGCTGGTCTAGATGCATGAATCTTTATATTAATTAGGTGGTGAACATCCAAATCTTAAATCAGAAAGAAGTGTCTCTCCTAAGTGAGTGAGGTAAGCCAGAAAGAGAAAGAAAAATATCATGTGATATCACCTATATGTGGAATCTAAAAACATAACATAAGTGAACTTATTTACAAAACAGGAACAGAATCACAGATGTAGAAAACAAACTTATGGTTACCAGGGGGAAAGGGGTGAGAAGGGATAAATTAGGAGTTATGGATTTGCAGACACAAACTATTATATATAAAACAGATAAACAACAAGGTCCTACTGTATAGCACAAGGAACTATATTCAATACTTGTAATAGCCTATAATGAAAAGGAATATATATATATAATTGAATCACTATGCTGTACACTAGAAATCAACACGGCATTGTAAACTGACTATAATAAAAAAAAAAGAAAGATGTGTATCTTGAAGCAACCAATGCCTTCTTGTACTGCATGTGTTTGTTAAAAAGTTTAATTGAATCTCTCCTGTTCTTGTTACTCTATATGCAAAATCTTGGAGATCAAGACACAATAAAGTGAAGAATACATTCACTTGATATAATTTAAATATTCAAACTGAATGAATTTTTAGGCAAGAGTGAACCAGTCAGCCACCAGGGCAATCCATTTGGCAGAGCATCAGGAAGACAAAAAAAATTTTAAAAAGAACAAATTGCTGAGCTGCCAGTGTGGAGCCAAAGGGGCCCCTGACTGTCCAGGAGAGCAGAGAACAGCCTAGCACCAAAAATGCTACAACCCATAGCAAAGAAAATGAACCGTGTGCCATGTGAACCACAACTTCCTGCAAGCAATCCCACCACATAGACACTGTCTCATCAGTGATCTATGCAGAAATCATGTCCACAAAAATCACAGAACTGTGGACACAAAGTTAAAAGATTTCATGAAAACTCTAGTCCCGGAACATCTTTTGCCAGTGAGGAGACTGAGCCCAGAGATATTAAGCAACCTGAAACCAAACGAATATTATATTCATACAGGAAATACAGCTTATTATTTATAAGCATTGACTCTGGTGCAAGACTGCACAGGATCAAAGCTCCAATCTGGTACTTCCTAGACTAGACTAACCTGGGAAAGTTAGTGAAAACCATTTGCAGAAAGGAAAGCTAAGAGGACCCAAAACATAGGAGGATAAATGAGTGACTATGAGAGTAACTATATAATTTATTGTTCCAACTGGGAACACTTTTGAGAGTGAAAGGTGGTGCTATTAACAATTATGTTGGTGGAGGGGAAGGTATAGCTCAGCGGCAAAGTGTGTGCTTAGCATGCACAAGGTTCTGGGTTCAATCCCCACTGCCTACATTAAAAATAAATAGATACATAAATAAACCTAATTATGCACCCCTCCAAAAATTTAGAAAAGCAATTATGTTGGCAAAACAATTATTAATGAGGATCTTCTCAGACAAACCACCATGGATGTTCACTCCTGTTAATATTTGTAAAGTGCTTAGGACAGTGCCTGGCGTAAATTAAGAGCTGTGTATTTGTTATAATTATGTTTATAGCTTGAGATAATTCAGGAATCATGCTTACAGGATTTTGTAATGGATTTCATAACGGAATTCAACAGAAAAGTGGATTCATTTCACAGAAATTTGTTTTACAGGCAGTTTTCCCAGAATGCATCTATTCTAGAAAGGAAGTGGCATCTATTGAAGGTGGTAAAATATACTTGCTTATTTCCTTAGAAATACATATTCTTGCTTTCTAGGGAAGCCAAATCTTCATGACTATGCCTTAAATCTCCTGGTGGAGGAAGCCAGTTGCAATCAATACTCATATACAGCTTAGCATCAGCACGCTCAACCAATGTCAGGGACAACACTAAGCGGCAAACAATTACCCAACAGTTGTCCCACTGTTTGCGAAATCAAATTCCAGAAGGCAGATAACAAAGCAACGCATCGCCATCTTTGTACCATCAGGACAGAAGTGCTGTGGAATCGTACCTCCGAGAAGCCCGCTGTCTTTGGTCTGCTCTGCTGGCTCACTCCCTTGGTCAGATGCCACCCCCTTGGAAGTATTAATTGATTCTAACAGGGAGACAAATTCCAGGAAGTTGGATTCATTTGGCATTTGTCCTTCCTTGGCCTCTAGGTCTGATTTGGAAGTTGGTATAGTTTTCTCTTTATCACTAATAATGTCTGCGGAACTTTTGCTCAAGACATCGGTCCCACTGTCTACACTGAGGACCCGGGCGTGTCTCTTTTCATGGCTGGTTCTACAAGATGATGGGTCGAGGGTGGCCTGGCCTTCCACTGCCCCCGGAGAGTCCGAGACCACATTAGTTGTGGGTGGAGGGGTTGTCGCACTGTGGTCTCTTGGCGAAGGACTGCAGTCCTTGGCGGCATTGCCCCCCTCCCCAGATTCATAGCCAGAACACTGATTGGAGGGAGGTTCTGCCATCAGTCTCTCTGGAGTCCTGTCCCCGCCAGTGCCTTCAGGACACACGATGCCTCCTCCTCCATCCTCAGACAGCTCCAGAGTGATGACAGGAATTCTCATCTGCTCCACGTTTGGAGGACCAGCCACCCCTGGGGTAGCTGACTGTGCATCGGACTCTAAACCAGTTCCCTCGGTGCCAATCACCTTCAGGTGGAGCGAGCTCTCCAAATCTGTCATGGAGTTCTGGGTACTGCTCATGGTGATGACAATCTTAATGGGTTCGTGCAGACTCAGCGGGTCTCCAGGCTGAGAAGTGTCTATCAGAGTGACGGCGACCTCACTGCCTGAGTAGTCCACATCCTGGTTCACGGGCCAGTGCAGCTGCTGGGAAGCCGCCGCAGCATCCTGCACAGGTTTGGCGATAACGGTGTCACACTGGGGGCAGCTGCTGCTCAGGCTGTCCTGAGATGCCTGGCTCTGCATCCGCTCCCGTATGGAGTCCCAGGTGTGATGTCCAGGATCTGGCGTCAGGACTGAATTCTCACTCCCCCAAGGCTGGAAAGAAACATCGGTCTCCAGCAAGTCGTACTGAGACAGAGACAGGTGTGGTGACTTCCTCAAGGCTTCTTTATCCACCAAGCCGCCCTCGGATCTGTGGTGGAAAGGGGGCCGTCCCTTCCCTTGATCACCGATGCGCCGTTCTGCCATGGCTGGCGTCACTGGCCTTGCCGGTGTGGTCGTGGTTTCTCGCGCATTGGCTTTAGAAACAGGTAAGCTTTCCGTTTTGACGCCAGGTGAGGTAGATGACACTGGTGCTCCGGGCTGGTCCTCTGACAGAATGACACCTGAAACAGACACAAGGGCAACTTGATGAGCATCCCAAATGGAGGAAGAATGTCCCAGAGCAAGGCCTAAGGACAACAAAACGAAACAATAACACCCAGGGGGCAGGGTACAGCTCAGTGGTAGAACACATGCTTAGCATGCACAAGGTCCTGGGTTCAATTCCCAGTCTCTCCATTAAAGAAACAAATAAACCTAATTACCCACCCCTGGCCCAGAGAAAAAAATTAATACAATGTTTCTCTCTTTCCTTCTTTTTCTCTAAAATAAATAAATAAATAAAAATAAACACCAGCCACAAATGTCATTAGATGCTTATCTTTGAAATAAGTAGGGGAGGCTTTTGGGGAAGGACCGCTGCCCTAGGTCTATGGAGCAGCATTCGCTCGGGATTCCAAGTAACTCGACCTGGGGACAGAAGAGGCACCTCCCCTAACTCTGCAGTTAACACTTAATGCTTTGGGGCGCTTTATTTGGCAGGGAGGGTTGGTCAGGTGAGAAACACACTATTTTGGGGAAGGTAAGACTGGACTGTATACGAATGTTAAGTTCGGGCACAATGTTTAACCCTGCAACGGCACCTTAAAAATCAGCAGAGTAACAGAATGTTCTGTTGGCCGGGTGACCTTTGACGTTTATAAGGAATTCCACAAGACGCTTGAGTGTGGGCAGGTCTGTTAAGACAGCAGTCTCTTGGCCTGGGAGGTCCAGAGAGCCTTCCAGATGTCCCATGAGTTGGAAACGTGTCATAATAACATTTAAGGTATTACTTGGCTTTTTTTTACCATCTCAGGTAAAGTGGATTTTCTATCAATGAGTGGAAAGTAGATGCCCATGAGAACCTAGATGTCTTATTAAAGAGATCCATGTCAGTTTCTAATGTATTCATAAATTATAATAAAGATGACTACGTATGTCAAAAAAAAAAAGTAAGGTAGGAGGAAGAAGATTCTAGGTGGGAGAGTTATGCCCAGAATTTGTACTAGAGTCAAAGAGGGTCTTCTGACTACAGCAGGGTAGGGCAGGGTCTCTCAGTTCCTTCTACCAAGGTGTCCTGAAGACAGAGGAGAGCGAGGAGATAAATACTCCTTCCTGCCTGCTCCAAACCCCTGCTTCCTGACCCTGAGGGTCATAGGCTGAGTCCACCTACGGCAGCTTCATTATCTTGGCTAAGTAATGTAATCCTTCCACACCAAGATTTCCCAGCTGTGACACTATTGACATTTTGGACGAGATAATTCTCTGCCGTGGAGGCTGTCATGTGCATTGCAGGATGTTTCACAGCATCCCTGGCCTCCACCCACTCGGGTGATGCTGGTGGCAACTCCACCCTCAGTCAGGACAATGAAAAATGCCTCCAGACACTGTCAGACATCCCCTAAGGAACAGATTCCCTCAGTTGAGAACCACTGTTCTTGGCCTCAATTTCCTTATCTGCAAAATGGGGATAATTATGCCAACCTCTTAAGGCTGCCATGAGGACCCAAAAGGTTGGACTCAGAAAGCACCAGCCCAAAGACGGGCGATGGGCTTGGTGGTGCCTCGACCCATGGACAGTAATAACCCCATGCTTCTGATGTGATTCATCTATTTTCAGAACATTTTAAATTTCATCTGCAAAGCAGTATTTACTGATGGTGGTGGCTACAAGTGAGCTCTGTCCTTCTCTCAACTTCCTTAGGACCCGAGCATCCCCTAAGCCTCTTAAGCTTGAAACCTTGGCGTCTTCATGTGGGTTTTCTTTCTCCACTAGCTTTGTGGTCATTCAAACAACAAATGCCTCCAGTTCTTCCTTCTCTTCTATCAGGAAGTGTCTTCTCTGGGGGCATGAGGGGTGCAGTGTCTGAGGGTCTGCAAGGTCCCAGGAGAAACAGGATAAGCAACAACTCATTTACTCTAATATTGGCAGAAAGAAAATAAATAATACAACTTGAGGTAATATAAAATGTCACAATTATTAAAATGAATGGGAATATTATGAAAATAAGAATGAAAAAAAAATAAGACATAACATGCATTTTTCAAATTAACTCTTGCCATAGGTGGACCCAGCCTATGACCTGCAGGTGTCAGGAAGTGACGGTTTGGAGTAGGTACAGGAAGGAGTATTTACTTGCCCTCCTCTGTCTTCAGGGGTACTCTGGTAGAAAGAATCGAGGGACCCTGCTCTAACCTGCTGTAGTCAAAAGACCCTGTTTGACCCTAACCCTAACCCTGACCCTAAATGGCTATAATCAGAGACATGGACAATAATAAGTGTTATCTAAGACATGGGGAAACTGTGACCCATATACAGATGGTAGGAATTTAAAGGGATACACCTGCTTTCTAAAACCATTCCTCAAATGGTTAAACACAGAGTTACTGAATGACCTGGCAATTCCACTCCTGGAAGCACATTCAAGAAAATGAAAACACATGTCCACACAAAAATCTGCACATGAATGTTCACTGCAGCATCAGTCATAATAGCCCAAAAGTTCCAACAACACAGATGATCATCGACTGATACCTGAATAAATAAAATGTGGTATATCCATTTAATGAAATATTATTTGGCAATAAAAGAAATAAAGTACTGATACAAGCTACAACATAGATGAACCTTGAAAACATTAGGCTAGTCACAAAAGACCACATGTGATATGATTCCAGTTATATGAAATGTCCAGAATAGGCAAATCTATAGAGACAGAAAGAGCATTAGTGGTTGCCTAGGGCTGGGAGAGATGGGAGGTTGAGTGGTGATGGCTAAGTGGTGTGGGCTTGCCTTTCAAGGTGATGAAAGTATTCTAAAATTGATTGTGATAATGTATACACAACTCTGTGACTATAGTAAAAGCCACTGACAGTAAGTGAATTGCATGGCATCTGAACGATGTCTCAATAGAGTGGTTAAAAAGTAAAGCCACTGTGCCTTTTAACAATAAGAACTAGATGCTAGGGTAGTATGTTATGAGACTGGTCCAAGAAAAAAAATTGCTCTAGTGCAGCGCTGCTGAAAAAACATTGCATAAGTCAGGCATGGGTATAAATGCCACCTAGACATTTTACATTTCATTATGACTCAGAGTGAAATGATGTATGCAAAACCTCTACTGCAATCCCCAACACAAGGAAGGAAGGAATGGTTTTAATTGGAATGATGCAATTAAAGGCCAGAACAGACATTGAAAGGAGGTAAATAATGTAAGGGTGTTCATAGCAACAGGACACTGGAAGAATATACAGTTTAATACAAGGAAAACTGTGTGTGTCAAAATGGACAAAATAATGTGTGAAATCCTGTGTGTAACTAAAATATTTGAAATCTAACTAATGCACATTTCATTTCGGTAGCAACATAGAAAAAACAATGTGGATGACCTTTTATATTATTATATTGATAAGAATGATATTATATTAATATAGTATACTAATGGAATTTAGCTGAGTGATGAAAAAAGAAACTTCCTTGTAGGTTTTCAGGACCATGGTGCTAATTGCAGCTGCTTTCCAGAAAATAAAATTTTACACTATCCTCAAAATTTAAAGAGAGCATAAATTTCTCTTTGTAGTAGTACTGCCAAAAAATACAATTGCAGAGACAGGAAGGGGTTTATTCAGGCTTCCAAAGATTCTTTTTTAAGTCTTCTGAAGGCAATGAAAAGACAGGAAAATGAAATCTTAGTGAAAAAGTAGAACAAAAGTTTGGGAGGATTTAAAAGAAAAATCCCAGAAACAAAACTTGTAACTTGAGAGACATGCAGACATACAGAATGCAATGTAATTCCCTCGGCTATTTTTCCGTGTAAGAACTACAATAAAAAGTCTGTGTGCTATAATTAATTTATTCTACTTTACATCTGCTGTTATAAGCTTGAAATGAGGCACAGGCTAGAGAAAGAACAATGGAATCCAGTCGATACAATATCACAGTCGGAATGCAGGCATGATAAACAAATTTCGATCAGAAATAAATCAAATGAAGAGCTAAAGAAATGAAGGTAAACTTAACTGTGCAGTCTTCGGTCTGGTTCGCATTTGGAATGAATTCCCTGGCATTCCACTGTATAATCATTTTTCATGTCACCTAGGATAATGCTGTGATAAAATATTAAAGAATAAGAAAAGAACAGGCACTCTACCTTTGAGATCTTCCACTGTTTCCTGTGCCGGGAGCCCCTAAATAAATGAAAGAACAGAAATCAATATGACTCAGCCCCCTGACCATTTCCAGGCAGTCAGCAGACGCCAAGCAGCAGTCACTGTTTTTCTAAATAGCTCACAGAGAGGAGACAATATGGTGTCCATGAAAGAAAAGGGAGAGCAAAAATGAATGCAAAAAAATGCATATATATACACGCGTAGATGTGCAACCAAGACCACCATGCTGTGATAAAAGAGACTTTGGCAATTAAGAAACTAACAAGGAGAAATAAAATGCTGCAGTGAATTCAGCTCGAGAGATTGAATCCAGAAAAAAGGCGATGTACTGACTTTGCAAGAGGTAAGTGTGATTTAAGGTGGAGGGGTGGAGTTGACTCCAGGGGAAGACACTGCAAATCTGATGATTCAGATGAGTGACAGATAGGAGAAGGAAGGGAAAGTGGGGAGCCTCAGCAGGGTATGGGTGTGCATTGAGCACGTGATTGTGTTTCTCTTATGGTCCGTATGCTCCTCCCCGGTCATTTCTACACAAGGGCCAGTATTTACAGCCAGTGTATGTAAACTGAAGTCAATGAATGCCTTGCTCACCTCTCTTCTAGGTATCGACACTACAGCAACATGGAGAGAGTGAAACAGAAAAACAGACCACTGACCAGGAGCCCAGAAGAGTGATGAGAGTTTATGCTCTGTCCTCTGGAGCTGCAGCGGAGGGGAGGCGTGGCAAGGGTTCGACTGGCCTCTTCCTTTTTGCCATGGTTTATCTGCCCATTATTGCTAATTCCACATGAGAAACACAGAAGTGATATTATCAAACAGAACATGGCTCTTTGGACATTAGTCCCAAATAATTTTTCCCTTGATTCTACTTGGTCAAATTCATTGTCTACAAATTTTATTTATTTATTTTTTACAAATTTTATTTTTAAGACCTAATAAACATTACTTTAAAACAAGACATGCTCTCTTAAGGAATTATCAGAAATAAGAGCACAAATAGTGACAGATGTTCACACGAGAATTACTTTCGACATTTTAGTTCTATGTAATGTATTACTTTTATATTAACAAACACAAATGCTCTTTTTGAAAATACTCTGGCATATGCACTAAGCATTTAAATGGCAAGATAAGCACAGGGAGCCATATTCAATATCTTGTAATAACCTTTAATGAAAATGAATCTATATATTCACTCATATATATATGCACATGACTGGGACACTGTGCTGTACACCAGAAACTGACACATTGTAAATGACTGTGTTTCAATTTAAAAAAAGGTAAAGTTAAAATTTTAAATTCAAAAAACAAATTTTAAATAAATGGCAAGTAAAAATACTGAAGTAAAATATTTTGCTAGGCTAAGCCTAAAGCAAATGAATTTCAGAGTATAAGGTCATATTAAATAGTTAAATCTTAATCAACATCAATTTTATGCTTAAGTGTACACTTAAATATAAGAAAAATGTATATATTTGTGTCTAGCTATACTGGTATATTTTCATAAACAACCAAAAAATGAGAAAATTATTTTTAATAAAAATTAAAGCATTTGAATTATGAACTGATGCATTAATTCGAAACATTACCTTGGATTTTTGTGATTAGTTATGTGGTTACTGTTGGCCTCTTTGTCTTTATCTGGCTTTTCTTTCTTTCTGGAGGGCGTTTGCTGAATCAGTTCTCCTTTATCAAACATGAGGTGTAGGCGATAACTGACCAATTTGATTACTGTGAAGAATATAGTCACCAAACTGCAGTAAAAAAATACAGTGATGGCATTTGGAGGAAAAGCCTAAAGAAGAGAAAAGAAAGGGAAAAAAATCAGGCCACAAGATAGAGAAGTACAATGATCCCCTGTAGTTATTTGTGTGAAGAAATTGATAGGTTTTCAGGTCCTGGATAATAGTCTATTACATATTTTATGAATTTCCTTTATTTAAAACATTAAGCAAATTTAATATTTTCTTAGAAAATTCAGAACTTCTGGCTATATATTGAGAACAGAATGAGCTCAGCTGTAGTTGCGATGCTGGAAATATGGATTAAGAACTCCCAGAGCCAGACGTGTGAGAATGCACGCTAACATATATGAAACTGCCTGATGGAATATGGGAGGGAGCCCTCAAGGCAGTACCCCTTAGAAGTCAGCCAGCCTTGCAAGTACATCGTGTTTAAAAATGATGAGGTAGGTAGGACTGAAACATTGTAACGTACACCAGAAACTGACACAACATTGTAAACTGACTATACTTCAATTAACAAAAATATGATGAGGTGGGTGGAATCTAGACATTTGACTCATCCTCAAAAGACAGCCCTACCTGCACTTCTGCCTTGCAAAGTAAAATGAACAAAAAGGAGAATACAATGCTTTCTCTCAGGCCTGCTATTTAGCTTTCTTTGAGTCTACTGTCTGTTTCTTATTACTTCTGTTCTAATTTCTTTGCACTCCTAGGCCTCTTGCTTTGTGTGCAATTTTCATGAGGCAAATCCTAGACAGAAAAGTGGCACGCAAATGTTGGCTCATCCAGATTGTGCTACAGGGAATGATGAGATAGGGAAATAGCCAAAGGCTACAGAGGTAGATTTGAGGCAGGGGCATTAAAATGAGAATCTTCATGGGTCCAAATGCTTTGAAAACTACTTTAGAAAGCAGATACCTGTAACTGTCTCATTCTCTCTTCTCTTCTCATAAACATTGAGTGCAAAGTTTAGTCAATGAATGCTTAAGATAGTCAAGAAATCTGGATTCATGTTGTCTTTTTAATTTCAGATGGCTACAGTAAGAGTTAACATTTTAGTTACATCTTTAATGTATACAGAGATCCATAGGATCAATCAATCAGTGAGCTCATTAAAGGCAAAGTGATGTCAACCTCAACACAATAAGTTCAACCATAAATCTGTACTGATATCGAGTCTGAATATCACTGAATATTGCCAGAAACAATCCCTCCAGTGTGACAACCAAAACTGTCTCCAGACATTGTCAAATGTCCCTGAAGGAGGTGCAGACTTGATCTCCCATTGAAAACCACTGCCTAGCCCCTAAATGTATATGTGGTTACTTTGCACCAAACACAGGGATTAAAAAAACATAGTCCTTACACACAGAGTTTAAAATTGATAGATGAGTAATAGCTAGAAGACAGAGTAGCAAGTGCCAGAATTCTGGTAAGTTGAGGTATGCCCAACCAAGGGATGGGGGTATGGGGCCAAAGAAATGATTCCAGGAAAAGCAGACATCTGTGAAAACTAAGAAAGGTGCTAAGAAAAGCCAGAAGGAATGTAGAGCTTATGAAAAGTGCAAACATTTCAGAGTATTTCACATGGGGCATTCCAAGTATGGTAATACATCAAAAGTTCCAGACACCATATGCTTCAGAATTTGATGTTCACCATGAAGAAAGAGTGCAGAATGCTATTTAAGCATGGAATGAAAATATTGGGATATGTATTTTATAAGATCATCAGTGTAGATGGGAGGCTGGACACAGGATGAGCTGGTCATGAGGAGACCAGAAGGGGGCCAACTGACTTCATGGAAGAGTTTAATGAAATCATCTATGTGGACGCCCAATGTGCAGCATAAATGATAATTTCTCCATAAAATCATTGTAAAGCCTATAAATTGTAATATAAATGTAGATACAAACTATTGCCTCTGCTCTTCTAAATCAGTATTAGAAACTCCACAGCCATTGCTAAAAGAGACTTCTGAGACCATCAGGACCAATGGAAGGATTGTTGGAATAAATAAATGATCTTACAAGGCGACTACCTGGAAAGACCACCACATGGTAAGTTGCTATTTTTTTATTTTAAAAAGTTATTATTTACAGAAAACAGTATGGCAGTTCCTCAAGAAATTAAAAATAGAATAACCATACGATCCAACAATTCCACTTCAACCCAAAAGAACTGAGAGCATGGTCTTGAAGAGAGATTTGTACATCCACCTTCACAACATTATTATTATTCACAATTGCCAAGAGGTGGAAGCAACCCAAGTGTCTCTCGATGGATGGTGGATAAACAAAATGTGAACACTACACACACAATGAAATATTTTCCAAGCTTAAAAAGGAATGGAATTTTGACACATTCTACAGTCCTGATGAGTCTTGAGGACATTATGCTAAGTAAAATCAGCCAGTCACCAGAAGACTAATACAGTGATTACACTTCCGTGAAGTACCTAGAGTAGCCAAATTCACAGAAAGGGAAAAGAAACTGGAGATTACCAGAAACTCAGGGGAGGGGAAATAGGGAGCTGTTGCTTAATGACTACGGACTTCCAGTTTTGAAAGATGGAAACATTCTGGAAACAGGCTGTACACAATGTGACCATACTTAACTCCACTGAACTGTAGACTTTCGAGTTATGTGCATTTTACTACAAATTTCAAAAGTGATTATTATTTTAGATTTATCTGGAGATGACATATGGCATTTTCCAACTGAGAAATAGGAACAAACAAATCACACTGGGCCCCTCTGTCTGGAAATGGAGGTTAAGCAGGACCAGGTCAGCAAGAGCCCACTGTTTCTCCTAGACCACCCCTCAAGATCAAGTTGAATCCCCTCAACTAGTGTCCGCTGCCCAGAGTAAGCGACTAGTAAAAGCCCCACGTAATCAGCTGTACCTTAGAGACAGTCAAGCTCCCTACTCAGAGGGCCTTTCACAAGAATTTATTGGACAGACTCTGTGCTTGGCACTGGGGAGGGAGCTGCGAACAAAATAGGTCAATGTCTGTCTTCAAGGAGCTTCCATTATGGTGCAGACTAATTATACCTAATTTCAAAATTAATCAACTTCTCTCCAACAAGGGATCATAACCTACCTACACTTAAAAAGAATGAAATGATACTCCTTGCAGCAACATGGATGGACCTGGAGATGGTCATACTAAGTCAGTCAGACAGAGAAAGACAAATCTTATCAAAAGATGAGGAAGACCAATGGGAAATAAGTATTCGTTCTCTTGATTTTCTTTTGAGATGGTAAAGATTTGGAGATAGGAACTAAAATATACACAAAATCCAATATAGAAAATTCCTAAGGTCCTTCACAGTCCAAAGACTTCTATATTTGTTTTCTATATTTAAGATATACCACAACAAACAAAAACAAAGCGTAAATACAGGACAGAAATAGACTCATAGACAGAGAATACAGACTTGTGGTTGCCAAGGGGGCGGAGGGTGGGAAGGGATAGACTTGGATTTCAGAATTGTAGAATGGATAAACAAGATTATACTGTATAGCACAGGGAAATATACACAAAATGCTATGGTAGCTCACAGAGAAAAAAAATGTGACAATGAGTGTGTATATGTTCATGTATGACTGAAAAATTGTGCTGAACACTGGAATTTGACACAACATTGTAAAATGATTATAAATCAATTAAAAATGTTTAAAAAATATACCAATATCAATAAATGAGATAAAGTCATTTTTGTTTGAGCCAGTGGTCTTTTCTTAAGTCCAAGTTCTCCACCATAGGGAAAAGGTTGTAATTATTATATAAATACTTCAAAGAAAAAGAGAATTGCCACAGGAGTAATAACACAAAGGTTATCTTGGAAACAACAGCAAAATTCGAACTTTATGGCAATCCAATACCAAGAGTGACACCTTGGTTTTCAAACTCCATTTTTAATGATCTGGACCCAGGCCACAACGTTGTGGTGAGTATATTGAAATGGGCCTGACCACAGACTGTTAAATGCACTACTAAAATTGTGAATTCTCTTCCTGAGTTAGATTTCATTAACGGAAAGAGTGATTTGATTATCCACCATGTATGAAGCACCACACCAGGGACCAAGGGGGGGATTCAAATCGTATCCTCACCCGCAGGGTTCCTCCAAACTAGGAGCAAGGATAGCCTCCCCACCTTGACTCCGAATGTCTTCAGATATTGGATTGTACTCTTTCCCACTCCCTGTGTGAAAGAACGGTCTTTACCACTTCTTTCTTTACCACTTACCATTTCTTCACCTCCCATTGCCTCTTAAACCCACAGTAATCTGGCGACTACTCCCCAACTCCACGGAAAACGTTCTTGTCAACGTCTCTAAATACAAAACTTCACCACAGTTTTCTCTTTTCTCAGCAGCACTCCACAACACGCCCTCACTTCTTGAAACATTGTCTTCTTTTTGCTTCTGAGAGGCCACGGTCTTCTAGCTGATCTCTGCCTGACGTCTGAGTCTGCATCTCCTGAGACCTCAGTGCTTAGCCCTCTTCTCTCTCACTACATCTTCCTGCTCAGTCCCTTGGAAGTACATATAACCTGTATATGTATGATTTTCTGATCTATATCTCTAGCTTAGACGCCCATGTTGTGAAATTCCCTGGATTAGAGGTGGTATGGTGGAGTGGGTACCAACTCCAGCTGTTTGTGCTCTGCTTCTGGTTCGCTCACAACTTGCCAAGTATCCTTAAGCATCTTAACCACCCTCTCCATGTCAGTTTTACCAACTGTAAAATGGGAACAGTGACAGTGCCTGTCTGGGCTGTTGTGAGGATGAGATGGATTCAGTCCATGCAAAATGCTTACAACAGTGCCTGCCTCATAGGAGCTCAGTGAGTGTTGGCTGTTTTTATGATCTATTCTAATAATGATAATGTTAAAGGGGGAAAAATCCAAAAAATCTGAATAGCATTAAGAAATAATCTATCTTTTTTCCTCCATAGTATGTAGGAAAGAGTTTTAGAGGGGATGAAATGGGGATAAGGCTGGGGAACGTGTAAAAGTAATCATCTGAGAGACCAAATGGTTA